GTGGTTGGTGGATATTCCCCACTTTCCACGACAGTGGCTATATCTCCCCAGAGCATGTTAATCATTCTTCTAACTCGTTCTTCCTTCGTCGAAACTAACTGAGGACATAGCCATGCTAACTGATCAAATCGTCGACACGCCTCAATAACTGACAAGTCACCCTGCTTCAAATTATTGAAATCATTCTGCTGAGTCTTAAGGGCTTCTAAGTTATAATATTTCTAATTAAATTCCCTTAGGAAGTCATTCCACAACATCTGTCTTACATCTCTTCTAGCATACACCGATTCCCACCAATAGCGGGCGTCTTTTTTCAGTACAAAGGCGGCGCACTGGATCTTTTCCTTGTCAGTGAGTTTCATAAACTCAAATACAGTTTGAATGGACGCTAATCATTCTTTAGCTTCAAGTGGATCAGTTGACCCTTCAAACTCTAGTGGTGCCATTTTCTTAAATCTCATATAAAGTGGTTCTCGTGGGACCATTACTTGGTGCCCTATTCCACCTCTTACTGGTTCTTGGGGTTCTGCAACCCTCTCTGGGTGTTGCTCAGGCTGGGCGGTTGGTGCTGGCACAGCCAGTAGAGGGGGTGCTCCTCCAACCTGCTGACCCTGTATTAACTGTGCAACTAACTCTCTTAACTGTCTACTTTCTTCAGCTTGGGCTGCTAATTGCCCTCTGAGACCTGCTACTTCTGTAGCAAGGTCCTGTGCTAGTGGATTCTATTATGCTTGTTGTCTTTTTGGACGTGTACGAACCATGGTGCTGTGTCTATACTTATCAAAAGAGCAACATAGTTAGTTTAAGTGCAAAAAGAGTTACTTCAAGAGTTTCTTGACTATACTTTAACTTCCATTCATTGTCATAGCACTAATAAAACATACATTCTATATGTTCTCTAATTCCACATTTCTCATTTTATACATATCACATCATATACAAAATATCACAACAGTTAAGGCTTCTAAGCCTTTCAGTCATTACTATTTACATAATCTTGTGTCATTTTTCAACTAATATGACGTTAAATCCTAGCTCACTCCTCATCATTTATGTATTCATCGGGGTCTTCGTCTGGGTCCTCCTCTGAATCCTCCTCTGGGTCTTCCTCTGGGTCCGACTGAGGGTTATCACTGGTATCCTCATCAGCGGTCCTAATATGTGTCCATCTTCGTCAAACAGCTACAGGTTCATCCATTGCCTCTACTTCAGGTCTCGGTCACTGTTGAGAGGTGGAGGCTTCCACGTCATGTCTCATCACTCGGGTATTAGAAACGAAAAATCTCGTCTAGCTACAGATGGCCCTGTCCTTTCTACAAAGATTTGGCGCTCACATTACTTCGCCTCAACGATATACTGCGCGAGTGTCTGGTCCAGATGTGGAACTAATCATCGCTGGTACTCCTCTGTCTGACCTCTTCATACAATCTGACATCGCTCCCCCTCACTAAGATTAAAAATCTGATTACGAGTTAGCACGTCCGCCAAGACCCTGGCCATATATGACACGATCGCCTCATCAGCTCTCATACCAACACCTTCGGCTCGTAAAATGAACTCCTGAGCTTGGGTGTATGTCACGGCTACCCTTGCTTGTGTCGATGTCTCCCCACTCGGCTGTGGTGCCGGCTCTAGTGGTATGGCCTGGGGAAGGAACTGATACTTTAACATATGACAAAAGCATTCCCACTGCATTTCTGCTATCTCATCCTCATCTAATGCCTGCCAAAAGATTAGGGCATTGCCCTCTAATAAACTAGCTGCTAATGTAACCCACTCTTCTCGGCCTATATCACAGGCTCGCATCGCATATTCTGCGTGGTGCAGCCAATCCCTAACTCTAGTGGGATGTGAATGCCCATCATAAAAGGGTGGATTACAGGTATAAAACCTGGTTGCAGCTTGACCCGTAGTCAAAACACCTCTCCTTATTCGGTGCACAGCCTCAGCCCCTATCGGCTCTAAGGCCCTTAAGTCCCGGTCTACTGGGGGATGACTACGCATAGCAGGAGTAGTTACAGACCTCTCTGGCTGTCGGAACAGCGAGGATAGAAATGTCCTTACCCGTCCCCATAAGGTATTCATTTGTGAGGTGGACGCTAACCGTGATGACGGTGGCGATCGATCCATAAGTACCTGTTCCGTCTTGCCAAAAGAAATAAACAATTTTAGTTTTATTCTATAAACTAATTTACCTGGACTGTGCAGAAGTATTAGTGCGGGATTTGTGATGGCAGGAGTAGAAAAACCGCTCTGATACCAACTGTGACGCCTCCTGCCACTAGGGCGGGAGGCGTCACATCGATAGGGGAAGAAAGGAAAAGTTAGTCAAGACATAGATCCTACAATTCCTACATATGATTTAAAGCTCGAGAAAACTACCACTTAAGGCGATGAGTATTCAACATAACGACAAACATTCAAACCAAAAGCCAGAAATTCAAGTAAGAGTCCAGAATCTGAAATTTCCCATAACACGTTAAAAATTTCAGGAGCGCAGTTCGGAAGTATGCAAAGAAAGCAAAAGGTAAGTTTTCTAGTTCCTATTTCTAACAATTTTTATGCCAGAATCATCACAAGCCAACATGGGTATAAGCCAAACACACAAAGTTTCTACATACTCAGCAAATGCAAACGGATAAAAGGAGAAAATTTTGAAGAAAAGCTTACCAGAAGTTTAAAAATGGAAGATATCGAGCTGGAAGAAGTTCAGAATTTAGCAAAGGAATCCTCAAGAGAGCTTCGAAAATGGAAGAAATTAGAGGTTTTGAAGAAATTTTGGCAAAGTCTCGATGGTTTTATCAAAATAAGTAAAGAAAAATTCATTTGGGAACCGCCACTTATAAAGGAAATAAAGCCTCGACCCTTAGCCATTGGATTGAATAACTGTTCATCCAACGGTGAAGATGAGGAGTCGCGATCCAACGGTGAATGCATAGGCGGGAAAGTGAAAAGACGCGATCCAATGGTTCAAATTCATCCATTCAAATGGGCGAAGAGACGTCTAGCATATTGATTTAACTAACGCGACGATTACAATCTCCCAAAAGCATCTTCTGTGTTAATACCATCATTACCTAGAGAGGCTAGAGCCAAAATCCTTCACAAGCAAGCAAACTCAGGGGAGGAGAGTCAAGGCGTAGACCCTACTTGGTCAAAGTTGGAAGCAGTCCAGAGGAATACTTCGATGGGGGGGGGGGCAAATGTTGTAGGGTAAAACGTCAAACCCTAAATTAAACCTTGAATGGGCCCCACACACCATAAATAATAGCATTAAATGATCAATGACAGCTCAGCCCTAACTGCCACGTCAGCGGGCAACTCTCTTAGGAGTCGACCACTAAAAAGAAGTGTCAAACATATGAAGGAGGTCAAATTTTCTGAAAGGATACAAAGGACAACATGAGGTCGACCGTACCCGCAATGGTAAGCAAAGAAGTTTCTGGGAGCATTTACGAAGTCGAGGTTACACATGAGAAAAGATTTGCGAGATTTGCTCCAAGATTTGCTATTTATTCAAATATATAAAATTTAAATAAAGAAATCGTCCTGATTGATTGTAATCTCTATCTTTTGGGAAACTATCCCAAAAGATAAGGGAAACTATCCCAAATGATAAGGGAAATATCTTTGAATTTGAATAGGGAAACAAGCAGGGGCGGTTATCTAAGGTATAAATAAATGATTATAGGTTAAAAAATTCCTAACTCTCATTCTGAGCATTAGTGCGTGTAATTCCTCTAATGATAGTGAAATTTATCTCCTCCCTACAATAGACGTAGCTCTCCAATCGAAGGTTAACCACTATAAATTATGTATCTTGTTGATTAAATTCCGCTTTTAATTATGTTTTAGTCTATTAAATTCGTACAAACCGTTTAAAAATTCGTTATTATTCTGCTGACGAATTTTTACTGTCAATAAAAATGATTTTTTTTAAGGACCCATTGCAATTTCCTGGTCATGATTCTAAAGCACAAACTAATGTTTTCTTAAAAATGTAAAAAATAAGTTTATCAGGAAAAGAAAATCCACCAAATTCGTTTTTGGCATATTCATGAAATCATTCGGCCTATCAGTTCAATGAAATTACACAAATATCCTTTAAAATCCTTTAAAATTACATGCCACATCAGCATAAATAAACGTCAGAAGGATCATTTGTGCCAGTGTTTTAAAGTCTAGGGAGGTGAGAATACCACTTTTTGAAACTTATGGGGTAAGATGAAAGAGTGACCAAAGTTCAAGGAGCAAATATAAAATTTATCCAAAAATGGGTGTGTGTTTGTTCTTTTTGCTACTTCCAAGGGACGGTCCCAGGAAACTTGGAATTCACGGTAATGATAAACGTGGAACCACCACTTTTTCTCGAATCCTTTTTCCATTAAAAAAATTTTAAAAAAATCTCAAACAAAATTTAGATAACTAATAATGCTTATCGATTAAGAAAAAAAGGAAATTAATAATAGATTATTAAAGTGAACTAAAATTATTCTAACAAAAATACAAAATATATTAACAAATTAAATAATACAAAAAATGAAATAGTATAATAAATTATATACTATGTTTGTTTCTTATATTCGTGCTTGATTCTGAATCATGATTCATAATTTTTTACAATATTTTTTTTATAAGAAATACATATAAAATAAAAATAATTCTAAATATATAAATCAAACGTCATTTAAATGTTTTCTGTCTTTACGGCGTTTTCGTTAAGCAGTAAAAATTTTACACATTAAAAAATATTAAAATAATAATAATAGTGGAAAAAATGAGCCAGCCAACGGATATTTGATTGGTCGGTAATTGGTTCTTGTTCCTTGCGCTTCTCATATTCGCATTTCTCAAACAAATTATTTCCTTGCGGTTTCCTGTCTGAATTTTCCTGGAAAACTCCGAAGCTTTGTTCACGAGAATCATATCCCAGATAAGTCTTCTTACTGAAAACAGAATCTTTTCTTCGTTTTGTCTTTCTTTTTTCTCGTGAAGAAAAAAGAGCAAGAATTCTGGTTTCCCATAGAACATATTGGGCTGTCTCTTTTCTCTCTGAGTTGGGATTTGTTTGTTTTCTCTTGGATAAGCTTTGACAAAATCCTCATTTGGAGTGAAAAGAAATTCGGGTTCGTCTTCTGTTTAGAGCCCCGTGTCATTAGCATCTGATTTGCATTTACGGTTTAAGGGGAAATTTGGAGCTTCTCTTTAGAAGTTGTATTTTTTTTTCTTTGCGTCTACACCCCTTTGGGGGTTTTAGTTTGCAAAAATTTGGCTTTGAAATTCTCATGGTTTTGTGATATCATACATACAATAGTGGCGGTTAGATTGTTGGGATTTGTTGAATTTTTAAGCTTTTCCTGAGGTTTATTGACACCCTTTTAGAAGGTTGGGATTTGGATTTGGTTTCAATATTTGGGTAGTCATTTATTTATTTCATTGTTTGATTTAAATTGGATTGACTCTCCAGTTTTGAGGGTTCTTGTGTAAAGCGAGATTGGCACAAGTAAATTTGTTTCTAGAAGAGTTGGGCTTGCCATGGGGAAGCAAAGCGGAAAGAAGAACAAGCAGGTAGGAGAAAAATCGGGTGACGGTAGTGGAAAGCATGGCAAAACTGGGGACAATATTAGTAGCCCAAGAGCCTATGATAAGGACACCGCAGTTTTCATTTCCATGTCACAAGAGTTGAAGGATGAGGGGAACAAGTTGTTTCAAAAGAGGGACCATGAAGGAGCCATGTTGAAGTACGAGAAGGCCCTGAAATTGCTTCCGAGGAATCACATAGATGTGGCATATCTGAGGAGTAATATGGCTGCTTGCTACATGCAAATGGGGGAGAGCGAGTATCCGAGGGCGATCCACGAGTGCAATCTGGCGCTTGAAGTCACTCCCAAGTATAGTAAAGCGCTGTTGAAGAGAGCAAGGTGTTATGAGGCTTTGAATAGGCTGGACTTGGCTCTAAGAGATGTCAATACTGTTCTCAGCATGGAACCAAATAATATCATGGCATTGGAGATTTCAGAAAGGGTTAAAATGGCGCTCGAGAAGAAGGGGTTGAAGGTAAATGATATAGTGATTGAGTTGCCTCCGGATTATGTGGAACCACCAATCTCCTTGGCACCCCGAAAAGTTGTGAAAGAAAAAACGAGGAAGAAGAAGAGCAACAAAGTTGTGGAGAAACAGGTTGTGGACAATACAGAGCAACAGAATGTTGAGGAAATAGCTGAGGAGAAAAAGGCTGAGGACAAGGTTGTTGTGAAGGAGAAAATTAGTACTGTGAAGGAGGTACCTAAAAAATCTGTAAAATTGATTTTTGGGGAGGATATAAGACGGGCTCAGTTGCCAGTAAACTGCACACTACTACAACTAAGGGAGGTTGTTGCCGACCGGTTTCCAAACTCAAGAGCGGTCTTAGTTAAATACAGAGACCATGAGGGTGATTTGGTTACAATTACTAGTGATGAAGAACTGAGGTGGGCTGAAGGCTCAACAGAATCAGAAGGGTCTCTCAGGTTTTACATTGTAGAAGTTGAACCTGAGCAGGATCCATTCTTTGAGAAAGTGAAGAGTGATGAGGAGGTGCAGAAGCTGAGTATTGGGGAAAATAGTGTATCTGAGAATGGTTTTTCTGTTAAAGGCAAAGAAATAAAGGGGTTATCTTGCATTGAGGATTGGATAATCCAATTTGCTCAGTTGTTCAAGAATCATGTTGGATTTGAATCTGATTCATACTTGAATCTCCATGAGCTTGGGATGAAGCTCTATTCTGAAGCTATGGAAGAGACGGTTACGAGTGATGAAGCTCAACATCTTTTCGAGACAGCAGGAGACAAGTTCCAAGAGATGGCGGCTTTAGCATTGTTCAACTGGGGAAATGTTCACATGTCAAGGGCACGAAAGAAGGTTTATTTTACAGAAGAGGCTTCGAAAGACTCAATACTTTCACAAATCGAAGCTGCATATGAGTGGGCGCAACAGGAATATACAAAAGCAGGGAAGAGATATGAAGAAGCCCTGAAAATGAAACCTGATTTCTATGAAGGCTACCTGGCTTTAGGTCAGCAGCAGTTTGAACAGGCGAAACTCTCTTGGTATTATGCAATAAGCAGCAACGTTAATTTGGAAATGCAGCCGGCCACAGAAGTACTGCGACTTTATAACAATGCTGAAGACAACATGGAAAAGGGCATGCAGATGTGGGAGGAATGGGAAGAGCAACGCCTGAGTCAATTCACCAAGAAAAACAGTGTTAGAACCCAGATACAGAATTTGGGATTGGATGGACTTTTCAAAGATATATCCGTGGACGAAGCTGCTGACCAGGCAGCAAACATGAGGTCCCAGATCAACCTTTTGTGGGGCACCATGCTTTATGAGAGATCCATAGTGGAATTCAAGCTTGGTTTGCCTGTATGGCATGAATGTTTGGACGTTGCAATTGAGAAGTTTGAACATGCTGGGGCTTCTCCAACAGATATAGCTGTCATGGTAAAAAACCACAGCTCAAATAATAATACCCTTGAAGGTAAATATATGTGTACTAATAATGGCATTTCCTTTGTATAAGAAATCAGTCAGTTATCAGCTACTCAAATTATTTTTTATTTTATTTTAATTATTTATTTTATTTTTTCTTTTTTTTGGTATGTTTACAGGTTTAGGGTTCAAAATTGATGAGATAGTGCAGGCATGGAATGAGATGTATGAAGCTAAAAAGTGGCAAAGTGGGGTACAATCATTCAGATTGGAGCCTTTATTAAGAAGAAGAGTCTCAAAACTTTATTATGCATTAGAGCATGCATGAGCCAATGGTTTCAAGGTTTCTCCAATAAGTCACTTTTCTTACTCAACCGCCTGGAACATATTCTTTGCATATTAAGGTAGGTAACACTTGCCCTGGTTATGTTACTAATTTTAACTAGAATATTTGAAAACCATGAAAGTTCATTTCTGTTGAATTGGTGAAAGCTATAGTAGTAGATTTCTTCTCTGCTATAGATATATATATATATACATATATGTGTGTGTGTGTGTGTGTGTGTGTGTACCATTTATCAATGAGAATTTTTATGTAAACTCTGGTCATTCCAATTTCTATTTATCTAGGAGAACTCTCTGCATACTTTTACGAACTAATAATGATTTTTCCAAAGGCTCCATGCAAGACTTGATTCATACACTTGAAGGGGTTAGAATTACTAGTTGGGGCATCCATGACATGATTCCGAGTTTTTCTAACCTCTTTTCATACTCAATAACCTTTAACATGCAATCTTTTAATACTGAAGTAATTAAACTCATGATGGTTTTCATGTTCAAGAATGAATTTACACTTAAACTTTACATCCCATAGAACATTAGTAGGCAGTGAAATCTTGGGTTTTTGTTATCTCTTAATTGCCTTTTGGCATAGAAAAGAATTTAAATTTCATATAAGATCTCATAAAGGCATTGACCAATCTTGTTGCTCTGTTACGCAGCTTTTTTGTTGCTAGTTTACCTCTACAGTCGGAGCTTCGACCGTTTACCTTAAAACAGCCAAACCTTTGTAAAAGCTAATATTTTGGATGGTTAATTGAAGAAAAAAGTACGCTGGTTTCATTTATATTATTGGGGAGGAGATGAATTTGCAGGTTATTTCATTCTGCCCTCACTCTCGTTGCATCCCCAGTTTTCAACAGTTTCTGACGGCTGATTTTGTACCTGTATTTGTAGCAATATTTATTAACTTCAGCAATTTGGTATCTCATCTTCGTTGTGTAACAAATTATTTTGGTTTGTAGTGTCTTTTTAGACAGATTGTATGTGTCATAAAGTAAAATCTCTCTCGCTTGTTTACAAAGCTGTTTTTTTTTTTTTAATAAATTTTCAAGCTTGTTTACAAAGCTGCGTTTTTTTTTTTCTCCTTGTATTTAAGTTGGTTATGTAATAGACAACATTGAAAGAAAGCAGAAGGAAAACGTGAGGTTCTCTCATCAAAACATTGAACTCTCTTCATAGGAATATTAACATTTCACAACATTTTCCATACTATAAAAAAAAAAAAAAAAAAAAAAAAACCGAAAAGAAATCCACCAGAACTTTGAATAGTGAAACAATAAAGAAGATATTTGAATGGTGCACTTTGAAAGAATAAATAGTAAGACATTCTTTTCATGTATCGCCTAGGTAATTCATTCATTCAAACAAAGTTAAAAGACCTAGCATTAATTACCTGTTTGGTAAAATGGTTCACATGATTTGAACCAAAAATGTCGTCAAATTTTAGAGGCCGATTTCAAACCTCTGACGTGACGTTTTAAACAAGAAAACAAATACATCAATTTCAAATTTACCATCCACCTTAATTTCAACATTCCGAACCCATTTTCTACAGCGTTATTAACTCAACTCTTACCTCTTCTCTTACAAATAATAATAATAATAATAAAATTAAATTAAAAAAAAAAAGTTTTAGTTACACATCCAAAACAATTTTAGATTTTCCATCAAAAAAAAAATTTAGATTTTCTTTTCTTTTCAAATCACACCTCAACTACTGATATCCAAATGTGATATCAGACTAAATTCAGACCACATTTTTCAAAATTTTCATTTTAAACCACAAAAATTCAAACCACCCTATTTTGAACCTATATACCAAATATACAAGCTTTCTCAGTTCCACATAGCTTTGATCAATTCTAATACCTGACCGCTTAGCATGTCGTTTTTGTTTTTTTGGTGAAAAGCTTAGCATGACTTGTTCAACACCGAAAGAATAAAAAAAAAATAGTGATGGTGTGGCGAAGTATGGCCTGGAAATCCTCTCACATCTTTCACACTATTATGCTAAAGCGCACTAAACTGAAACTTTTTAACTCTTTTAAGTTCCTAACTCGAAAGAGCTAAATGAACGAGGTTAATATTTTAGTAAAAATTCTGAAACACAGCTTATGGTTATATCATATATGTACAGTTTATTACAAAGATGAGGTTCAATATACACTTGACATGCTTCACAAGTAGGTCATTTGTACATTTATGACAATGGTTTCTGGCCCACATTCTAGGTTCGTTTTACCATTTTATAACATTATTACTATATTAGCCTGTACAAAAAGCTGCCCTAGTATTTGGTAGCATATTATTTACAGAGGATCTTATAAATGTGATTGAACCTATTCTGGGCGGAAGCTAACCAAATTAGGAAGGGCAACAGACTGAAGCTTCTTGATTCCGGATGCAGTTACTTTGGAGGACTCCAAAGTCAATGACCTTAAACTCTTCAGAGGCTTTAAGTAATTTAACCCCTCGTTGGTAATGCAAGAATTCGATATGTTTAGTGATACTAACGTGGTCAATCCTGCATTATTGAAAGAAAAATGAGAATACAATAAAAGACATCACAGCAGCTCATATATGTTTCAATTTTCATGCAGTAAGAAAAGCGAATGGTCATAAGTTGCAGCAAGCTAGAAAGGTTACAACTTAAAAACCCTCCACACAATACACAAAATGGGGACACTGTTGTTTAAAATTGGCAATCAAATTGAGAAAAATGGGTACACTGTTGTTTTATCATTCTGTACTAAAAACCATGACATCAGTCGCACCACATGCATGAAAATATTTATGTAGGGCTTGTCAGATCTCGCCAGAAAAACTTTATTTATGTGAAGATCTGAAATTAATTGAGACCTATAGAAAGTACCAGAAATAAATTCCAAGGTCTTATCTGTCAGGTTGCTGTTTTGTGACAAATTTAGCCGTCGTAGAGACGCAAGACCTTGGATGTGCTTGACACCTGCATCAGTTAATCCTCCACCACATATTTCAAGGGATTGCAACTTCTTGAAGCCTGTTTGATGTGGAAAACATATGGGTTAACAATTAGCAATAACTAAAACAAAACACATGCACACAGAAAATCCAATATGAGCTGTCCAAATGTAGGGCCAAGTTTCTCATGTTTTACTCGTTTGATTCAAAAAAGACCTACTCAAGGAACTGGGACATTGAGTAGTAACCATATAACATTGGTAACAAAAATCATTCCAAGAGTTGCACTGGTATGTGAATCAATTGCGAAGAAATTAAATCCGAGTTTGTTGAAAACTCTGATCTAAAGTGGGACGTACTCAATAAAGGATGACACAGATCTGACAAATTAGTAACTTTTATAAAATCAGAGTCATCCGTCCTAGTTGCAACCTATATAAATTAAACCAGTTGACCATATTCACTGGAAAGAAAACCAGATCCTTGCCGACAATCGAAAGAAACAATGAATAATTCATTCATCTAGGAGTAAATCTATAGAAAAGAACAAGTTTAGAGAACTCATTCCTCGTGCATGTAATACCATATAAAGAAGCCCATTCATTGATGCCAAACCTAATGCATTGACAAAACAAAAAGGGTAAATACGACAATCTCTAACATACAGCGTAAATAATTCATTCCAGAATCTGTAATACGAGCCCCAAAAAGATCCAGATGTGCCAAATCAATAAGACCTGCATTCGAAAAGCATCCAATCAATGACTTTGACATAACCAAGCATATTTGACATTTAATAAGATAAATCACTGAAAAATGTCAATGGCGTTCACTAGGCCTTAGTTACACGAGTAAAAACAGAATACGGTGAATGATTTATCATAAATTTTGATCAATTGCATAACTAATACACAGTTCAGCTAGGGAAATGACAAATCTAAACTTGCATGAAAAATACTTACTAGTAAGGACAGAAAGTCCTGAATCACTAATTTGGCGAGTGTCCAGATTAAGTGATTTAAGAGAAGCCAATCCAGACAACTTTGTCAAACCACCATCCGTCACTAATGTGAATGAAAGATTCAAATTCTCCAAATTAGTCAAACCTGGAAGAGAAGACGTGAAATATAAATCAGAAAATGCCCTTTCAACAATCTTTTTTTTTTCTTTTCTCTTCTTTTTTTTTTTTTTTTTTTTTGATAAAGAACAAAGAACTTCATTTATAGAGAAGATTACAAAGGAAGTTCCAAGATGGATGAGAAATTCATCTGAACAAAAGCAAAACAACAAAAGAGAAGCAAAACAAAAACAATAAGCTAAACACAAGCACACTGCGAGATTTATTTCAGGACATCATCCCAACTTAACAGAATCAAAGATAACGGGAAGTGCTTAAAAGATGGATCTATTGAAGCCCAAATAGACGCTAAGTATTATGCCTTCTCAAATAAATCCTCGAATAGCATTTCTTTCCCTTCAAAAATCATTTGATTTCTTAATATCCCATATGGTTCACTGCCATTGAGCCTCTTTTCTCTTTTTTTTTTTTTTTTTTTTTTTTTTTTTTTTTTTCCCTTTTTTTTTTTTTTTTTTTTTTTTTTTTTTTTTTTTGTCTCTCCTGTTTTCTTCTTGCTGGTGTTGTTTCGCTTTGTCTCTTATCTTTTATCTGTTCTTTTGGCAACCAAAAATGGCAAGACATTTGAGATGCATACTATAAAAAGAGTGAAAAAAAGCACTAGTTGCCCAAAAAAAAGTTGCGAATCAGAAGATCACTCAATGAATTGGTGCGAGCAGCCAGAAAGAAAAAGCCAAAGAGCAATTGGCTTTCCTTTTTTGATAAGAAAAGCAATTTTTTTCTTAATTTATTTTGTTGCAGCTTCTAAAGTTTGTGTCTAAAATACGATCCCATACAAAAGGGCAAAAGGCCAAGTGAGAGCTGTACGTTGAGGTTAATGATAAGACCAGACCCTTGGTAAGACAGGTGTTTGTGAGGAGAGGGAAACGGCTGTAGGCCCTGGGGAAAGACAGGTGTCGTTAGGGAAGGGAACAGCGGCAAGTGTAGGATGGTTAATGAAATGTAACCAATCGGGGGGTAGTTAGTGGGGGGGGGGGGGGGGGTGTTGAGACAACAGAATTAGGGAAAGGGGAGGGATATAAATAGGGAAAGAGTGGATTAGTCGAGTAGGAAATTAGTGAGTAAAGGTTTAGTTGGGCCAATTAGCCAGCTAAGGGAGGTTTTGCAGTCCCTCGAAGAACTGCTGAATTGTATTCCAAAAGTCCTTCAGTGAATAAGAATAACTGTTTCTTGATTTCATTCTGTTCTTGCCTATTTTCCGGTAATAGAAATCCTAGGGTCTAACAGTTAACACACAAAGATGAAGCGAAATCGAGTGGGGGTGAAACTACGCCAAAATCTTTGGGAAAGTTATTTTCAAAAGGAGAACAAAGAGCCATATGGGTTTCGAGAGTCAAGAACGGAGCAGCAGTAGAGGATTTAATGAGAATTAAAGATTTGGTTGAGGACGCACTTGCAAGGAGTATAACAAGACCGACGCGATGGACTCGTCGACAGAGTATAGTAGCAATTCTGAGGGTGATGAAGACATTGGGTCAGACACCGAGACAGAGAATCCTGAAAATGAAGATCAATTTGCAGGTTTGGAATAGGCAAGGCTGCTCCTAAACGAAAGAAGAAAATGGAGTGCTCAAGGAGGGTACTGTGGAGGGGATCAAGGAGAGGAGCGAGATTAAGCAACAAGAAAACAAGGAGACTCAGGCGGGCGAAGGGCATAGCAAAATTAAAGGGGTATTGGATAAGAGTGGGTTAATTACGGATGGGTTAGTGAAAGTTAATGGCATATTAATTCAGTGGGGAGATGTGAAGGAGTTGTTGAATAAATTGAAGCTTAAGTTGGTATCTACGGTAGAGAGTAAAAAGGAAGATAAGGTTGGAAAGACAGCGAGAAAGAGAGGAGGCAATGGAGAGCTGCATAACTTAGCTTTTAACGTTAACTATGATATGTCTGCGAGCAAAAGGGGTATAAATAGTGATAAATGAAGCTAATGACATGGAATGTTATGGGTAGCTGCTGCCCGTTGAAGAGAAGCAGGATAAAGGAAGTAATTCGCAAGGGAAGTCTAGATTTGGTAGTGTTGCAGGAGATCAAAAGTCAAGAGATGGACAGGAGGTTCATAGGAAGTATTTGGAGGGCCGGATTTAAACTGTGGATAGGAGGAATTTTAGTAATATGGGATGTCAAAAGGGTGCATGTTTTGGAAAGTATGTGTTAAGCCTCCTATTCGGTTCATTTATGCTAGGCATGGCAAGCACGTGAGGGGGGAGAATTAGTCGGTACCTTAAGGCCAGTTTGGGAAATTTGTGAGTCCTGGGGATCTGTGTTAGTTAGTGGGGAAAATCAGTTATAATAGAATAAAAGGGGGGATACCGTGGAGGAAGTTAGGCAATCGGTGAGTTGAGTGGAGAACTTCCTCTGGGAGAGAATTGAGCCTCTCGAAAGCTCAATATCTATCTTATTCTTCCTGTACTTTCTATCTTTCCAATTTGTAGTTCCATTAATACAACTTCCAGTTTACTTCTCAATCGTATTGCTATTCTCTTAGTGGTACTTATCATCTGGTATCAGAGCGAGACGTCGGAAGATGGTGAACAGAAGGATTGGAGGCCGAGGAGAGGTGGTGGAGGACCGGGTGGAGGAACAGCAAGCACCGACGGAAGAAGTAGACCCGGGGGAGTTTCAGCGGGAGCTGCGAGAGATCCGAGGAGATCGACAGCGACTCGCGGTTCTGGAGAGAAGCATCAATACCATCGTGGCACGTATGTCGGTGCTCGATCGGGTGGAACAGGCGCTCTAGAAATTGGAGGATCCGTCACGAACAGGAGCAAGTGGGGGAAATAAGGGAAAATTGCTCCATCCGGAATCCTCGAACTAGGGGACGGCGTCCGCCGCGGGGGAGGAGGGACAACCAAAGCGGACCCACCGGGATTGAGCGTCCAGATTGGGAACGGGGTGAGCCGCGCACGCATCGGTTGGAGATGCCCGTGTTCGATGGGGAAAACCCAGAGGGCTAGTTGTTCCGAGCTGAGCGCTACTTCGCAATCAACTGATTGACAGAGCCCGAGAAGCTACAGGCGGCGGTGATCTGCATGGAAGGGGAGGCGTTAGCGTGGTTTCAATGGGCGGATGGACGGAGGCCTATTCACAGCTAGCTAGAATTGAGGACTCATGTGCTGGACCGATTCCGTTTAACCCAAGAGGGGTCCATTTGCGAAAAATTTCTGGCTCTCTGCCATGAGGGGTCGGTGCGGGAGTATCGTCGGTGGTTTGAACTATTGGCTTCTCCGCTGAGTGAAGTTTCGGAAAAGGTGATGGAGAGCACCTTTATCAATGGGCTGAAATCGGATGTTCGAGCGGAGGTCTGTTTGGCTAACCCCAGCAGGTTGACCCGAATCATGGAGTACGCCCAACGGGTCAAGGACCGGAACAACATGATCCAACTGAACAAATCAGCGCCGACGGGGCTGTGGGCCCTGACGTTGAGTGGGGGCCCCTCTGCGAGCCCGACCAGGCAGCTCCCTTCAATCCCAAAGGCCCAAGTGCATGGGCCACGCCCCCCAGGGGACCCTTCAAGGGGATCCCAACTTATGCCATTCCATGGCATCGCTCAAGGCTATGGTCAAGGCGTTTCGTGAGCAAGATGAAGGGGTGCTGCTGGAACTGGGGTGCATCTCCGTGGAAGATGGGGAAAAATAGGCTGCTATTCCACAGCCCCTAGTGGAGGTAGTGCAACAGTACCGGCGTATCTTTGAGTGGCCGCAGGGGCTACCACCGAGTCGCAGCCGTGATCATGCTATCACTCTCCAACCGGGCATTGCACCAATAAACGTGCGCCCTTACAGGTACCCGCAAATTCAAAAGACCGAGATTGAGCACTTGGTGAGGGATATGTTGGCGACAGGGATAATTCAGCCAAGTATTAGCCCTTACTCGAGCCCCGTTCTGCTAGTTAAAAAGAAAGATGGTAGTTGGCAATTTTGCGTTGATTATCGCGCGTTGAATAAAGCGACCGTGCCGGACAAATTTCCGATTCTGATGATTGATGAGTTATTGGATGAGCTCCAGGGGGCCACAGTTTTCTCTAAACTCGACCTCAAGTCTGGATATCACCAAATCCATGTAAGGCAAGAGGACGTCCCAAAGACAGCATTCCGCACCCCCGACGGCCACTATGAGTTCTTGGTGATGCCCTTCGGGCTCACCAATGCCCCAGCAACCTTCCAAGCCCTCATGAATGAGATTTTCAAGGAGCATCTACGGCGTTTTGTACTCATTTTCTTTGATGACATGTTAGTGTTCAGTCGGAACATGGACGATCATGTCATCCACTTGCGAAGGGTGCTAGACATTTTGGGGGCGCACCAGCTATTCGCTAATGAGAAGAAATGTGCATTTGGCCAATCCCTATTGGAGTACCTCGGCCATATCATCTCTGCCGACGGGGTTTCAGCGGACGAAGCCAAGATCTCGACCATGCTCCATTGGCCAATGCCAACTACGCTGCGAGAACTGCGAGGGTTCCTGGGACTTACGGGTTACTACCGCCGGTTGGTGGCCGGTTATGCCACGCTGGCTTGGCCGCTCACTCAGCTACTTAAGCGCGACAGCTTCCACTGGATGCCGCGGCAACAAAGGCTTTCTCCTGCCTCAAACACGCCATGACAACGGTGCCAGTATTGGCCTTGCCCGATTTAACTCAGCTTTTTGTCGTGGAGGCAGATGCGTCCGGCCATGGCCTTGGGGCGGTGTTGATGCAAAACAACCGCCCCCTCGCCTACTTCAGCCAAACCCTCTCCTCTCGCGCGCGGTTGAAATCCGCCTATGGTGAGAATTGATGGCTATTGTAATGGCCATCCGCAAGTGGCGCCACTACCTTCTGGGCCGCCGTTTTGTGGTTCGCACCAATCAACGGAGTCTTAAATACTTGCTAGAACAACGGGAGGTTAGTGCCGAGTATCAGAAGTGGCTCACCAAACTCATGGGATATGATTTTGATATTCACTATAAGCCGGGATTGGACAACAGGGCCA